GTGAGGGGCATGTGTAGTCTTATCAAAAAACACCAGCAGATGATCCCGGGTACTCGTCTAGGCTAGGGGAGGGAAGATGTCAAAAAAATTCCTCCCTCAAGTGCCGTGTTCAAATCAGCTTAAAAATGTATTAAAGTCGAAGGTGTGTGAGTAAGACCTCTTTTGACACAATAATAGGCGGGACCTCCGAATTTACCGTCCGTCGCTAGGTGTAGATCTTTCCTACCATAAGATCAGGGATGTGGCTGAAAGACAGCAGAAAGAAGGAGCTAAGGAGTAGGCAGTAGAAAGGCAGCAGAAAGAGTCAGAAGCCCAGGGGAGGGGGCACAGGAGGTGAGGGGGTGGGGGCAGAAAGTGGAGACGAAAGCAGATAACAGAACATTGTTAGAGAGCAAGAAAGGAGGTGAAAGGAGAAAATTTAGAGAGGAAAATTTTCTGTCGCTATCCGGATTCCAACCTGCGACCTATTGAATTAGAGGCGAACACCTTAACCTCTTAACCACGAATGTTTGGTGAGTTCCGCACGCTCATTTGAACTTAAGCAGTTGCGAGCGCTGTAAAACACTTACAAAAAAATAAACAAACAATAAAAACAAATAGACAATACATTGACATGTATAACAAAATGTTGCAATAAAGCAAAAGAAAGCAGAAGTAGGTTCAAGATTATACTTTTATTGCTTGGCAGGCACATCAGATTCATTCATACAAGACAAGGTATATGAACATTTCTTCAGAAGTTTGAAGAGCGTAATTACCAGCATGGTAAATAGGAATATATAATGTAATGGAAAACTGGCAATTTTCTAATGCTGCCAACTTAAAAATTTTTTACAAGAAAGACGTAAAATTCAATCGTCTTTGGGTTTTCTATTCTAAAACTACCTAAATGTCCTCAAGACACCTAAATTATAATCTGAAGCACCTAAATATACATTATAACGCTGTAAATGCCTTTAGTAAAAAGTTTGCCTTAAACTTCAACACATGTACTGAGATCGACAAAAACGTCAGAAGCTGAAATCCTTTGACTTATATTATGACTTGCCATTTCTAGAGCCAAAACAATATGGAAAGTACAAACCACAATTTTCTTTATGTACATCGAGAGATAAATGCATAAATGGGTATGGTAGTCCCCCCCCCGTATAGTTTGCAGTTTTCCCAGTGGATGTACTTTCATCTGTTCAGCACACCCCCCCCCCCCTCCCCGCCCCTTTCATTTACATATATGATATCCATGAACATACACCAAGCACAGAGCATCGACACATAGCGAAAAAAGGTCTAGAACATGCCAACGACAGGCTAATCAACTCGCATCATAAGTACACACACATACACAGATATATCTTAACACACACACACATGAATATACACACACACACACACACACGCAAATATACATATACACACACACACACACACACACACACACACACACACACACACACACACAGGTGCAAACACACACACACACCTAAACATTACTGTACATTATAAAACAGCATAGGAATTTTATCAGAAACACACATATATGCAATATACATATTTTATT